ATCCATTTTGGGGAAGGGCTTAAGAGAGAGCCTCTTCAGAACTCCAAGATTTGGATGTTTTTCTGTTTTTCCCAGAAGAATTCGTGTTGAGGTATGATTATGGATAACTTTGTTAATGGGCTGCTCGGTTTCATGAGCAGGCCTAGGGCTCTGGGTCTCCCGGAACCTTTATTCCTGATGTTTATAGCTGTAGAGTAATATTTTTGTGCCCATCGTATAAATAAAAGCCTATGGTGCACAGTTGATTGTGTGTGATTGCTGTCTTCATTCACTTAAAATGATTAGGTTATTGAATTATTTTTCCATTATTTAAAATGTCTGTTAATAAATATTGATACAACCTGTTATTTTTGGCAAAATGTTTGAAAATGGATTTGTTGACTACTCTCTCCTAGAATTTTTTACAGATTATTTTTAGCCAATATCATCAAGGACTCTTCTTACAGAGAAAAGCCACCTCCTCTTATTAGCAACACCCTTTTGGCAGGTTAAGTGGGGAAGTGAGTTGTTCCTGGAAGGCAGCAGAATGTTCTAGGCTTTTTCTGCCAAGGTTCTGAGGGCTCATGTGGAGAACAAACACTTGCTAAGGACTTACTGTGCCCCAGAGAGCAAGCTTTAATGCGTCATTTGGATCTCGCAGCTATTCTTGTCCCTACCTGTTTTTTGTACATGAGAAAACCAAGGCTTAGTATTGAAGTGACTTTGCCAGTTTCTTAGTCAGTAGAGTCAGAAGGCTAAGCAGAGGGGCTATGATGCCACCAGCATGGGACCATAGGTTCAGACTGCCTAGATGCTGCCCCTTGGGCATAAAAATTCTGCCCTTCACTGCTGTGACTGTAAATGGGACCCTTGACAAGGTCTTAGCACAAGGTATGGGCCCGGTTCACGTTGGCTATTGGGCTACATGCTACAGAACTGCTACAGAATTCCTTCTGTTTCCCTAAAGAACATTTTCCCTGGTTGGGAAGATGCTACACCTTGGCTATAAGAATTAGCGCCAGAACTGGACAATATATATCCAGTGATGATCCCATCATTGGGTTCCTGGGAAAGGAGGTTGGGAGAGAAGAGTCACTGGAGGGTGTAGGGTGGAGATGAGCTTTGGGGATGCTGGAATTGGGGATGGGCAAGGTGGTCAGAGCACTGGCTGAGAATAGACGTGAGAAGGAGGGAAGATGGTGAAGTCTCCTTCTAGAGACAATAAGTGAATCAACTCTTATCATTATTGGTGACTAGGGTGGAAAGATGGAGGCAAAGAATTTTGTGCCCATCCCAGAAACAGTGGGGAGCTTGCAAAAGTGGAGTTTTTCAAAACTAATTTCAACTTTTATTTTAGATTTAGTGGGTACATGTGTAGGTTTGTTACCTGGGTATGTTGCATGATGCTGAGGTTTGGGGTACAGTTGATCCCATCACCCAGGTACTGAGCATAGTACTCAACAGTTTTTCAACCCATACCCTGCTCCTTCTCTCCCCTCCCTAGAAGTCCCCAGTGTCTATTGTTACCATCTTTATGTCCATGAGTGCCCATTGTTTAGCTCCTACTTATGAGTGAGAACATGCAGTATTTGTTTTTTTTGCTCCCGCGTTAATTCGCTTAGGGTAATGACCTTCAGCTGCAACCATGTTGCTGCGAAGGACATGATTTCATTATTTCTTATGGCTGCATGGAAAAGTTTTAAAGTAAGATGAAGAAAGCAGGGTTTTAAGAAGATTAGTGATGGTGGATGGAATGACGGAGTTTCTCCTTACAGTAGTCAGTGGGAAGTGAGTGCAGTGATTCAAGCTTCTGTTGTAAGAAACTCTCATTCCACCCACTGACTGTAGAAGTTCTGCAGTTCTTTTTGGTTTCTCCTACCTAAGTAATAATGATAATAACAATAACATTGCACATGATCTTTTTAAACATTTGCTATTTTTATGACAGATGCACACACAGTAACATAGAGAGGTAAAGTACCCAAAGTCACAGCTGGGCAGAAGCAGGATCCAGACACAGGCAGCCTGGCTCCTCTGCTCAGGCTGTGACCACTATGCTGTATCATTTTATTTCTAATATTTTCAAGAGCACCATAAGACTTAATGCATTTATGGTGGTCCCTCAGTCCCCTGGGCCACAGGTGACCACTGATAATGCTCAGTGATCACATGCAGAAATAGACGGACAAGTGGTCAAGGCCTTCCTTTGGTAAATTATTGCAGGGCTGAAATAGCTTGAAAAATGACTGCAGCATCAGTAGTACAGTCATATCCATTCAAAAAATGGTTGACATTTGTTTCTGGCTCCCTGATTAAGCCTCATCACTAGAAATTCGTGCTGATGCCCTTGCATGATGGAATAAGACTGTTTGGTGGTGATGACATCAGGGCCAGGTTGACAGTTTAAGAAAACAAAGGATCTGGTTGCCTGGATAATGACCCTTTGCTGTCTCTCCTTCCAGAGAGTTTTGACAAGAGTTGTATTAGTCCATTCTCCCACTGCTGTAAGGACATACCTGAGACTGGGCTATTTATAAAGGAAAGAGGTTTAATTGACTCACAGTTCCACAGAGCTGGGGAGGCCTCAGGAAACTTACAATCATGGTGGAAGGGGAGGCAAACGTGTCTTTCTTCACAAGGCAGCAGGAAAGAAGAATGAGAGCCGAGTGAAAGGGGAGACCCCTTCTAAAACCATCATATATCGTGAAAACCTTCTCACTATCACGAGAATAGCATGGGGGAAACTGCCCCCATGATTCAATTACCTCCCACCAGGTCCCTCCTATGACATGTGGGGATTATGGGAACTACAATTCAGGATGAGATTTGGGTGGGGACACAGCCAAACTGTATCAAGAGGTTAACGAGAAGATTCAACCTGAGGAGTCATGGTGATGGTCGCTTCCATCCTGAGTTCTCATCTTCTGTGTGCGTCTTTTCCTCCTTGTATCATGGTCTTGTTGGTTGGCTCCCTCCTTACCTCTGAAGTTTTATAGACCAGAGGCCTGGTTTTTCAACTGTGTAGTTGTTCCATCAAGATACTTACTGTTTTTAATGGAAAACCAGCATCATTTCAACCATTATACTTGTGTCTGCAGAGGCAAAGGTTTCATCCTGGGAGCAGGGTGAAGATTTTCATCCAGAGTGCATGGGGTCATCCAGTTTAAAGAATTTAGACTTAGGGAGTACACCTGTGGCAGGATCAGGGGATTCGTTCCTGCAGGGGCAGGAGTGGTGGCAGGGCTGGCTGGATGATAACCTCTGACACCTAGCCGAGGACTCCCCCGTCTCAACTCTTTTGCTTCCTGCTGCAAATTTTCAAAAGAAGAGTCAAAATAAAGGAGGATTTTTGAAGTGCATTGTCAGCTTAGCAGAGTGTGAAGGCAGGGCTTAAGTCACTAGACCAGAGCTCATATCATGGCTCTGCTGCCAACTATTTCTGTCATCTCAGGCAAAGCATTTCCTAATCCCCATGGGCCTTACTGTCCTCCCTCTGCAAAGTGAAAATGGCAGTGCCACCCTCCTGGGATCACTATGAGAAACACAGTAGCAGAAATCATCCGGATAAAGCCCTGAGCTTTATATATATATACTGATCACTCAGTAGATGGAGCTCCTATTAACGTCAAAGAGAACATACTAGAAGATAAAATGGGATGAAGATGGTAGCGTGGTAAAGCTCCGGGGGAAGGAAATAGACATTAGTAGCCAAAGCAGATATACTAGAAGAAAATAACACAAAGCTGAAACATTTTTACAGGAAGAGTATCAGAAAAAAAAAAAAGTATAAGAACATCCCAGACAGGTAAAAAATAGCACTAAATTTACCCAAGAATGTGCTAAAAAGAAGAAAGGAGTGTTAAATCCTGCGGCAAGATGGAACACAGGAGCCAGCCTCCCCAAGTTGCAATAAATCTGGTTCTTGTCCCCACCCGCCGCCGCCCCCAATCCCCAACTAGTTGTCAAGGTCTCTGTAAAGGGTCCTGAGCATGGAAGCGGAGTGGATGTCCCCAGGAGGGCGAGCAGTGCTCCATCACCTCACCGGCCTTCCCCTCCATGGCAAGTGCAGAGACATCTCAGGAATAAAGGATTCCATGGGCCAGTGTTTGAAAAATGCATAAACAAGGTTAAATATTCTTTACTGTAGTGCTTCTCAGAGTCTTTAATATATAACTATGAAACAGGAAGAGACTTATACGGGTTATTGTTTTAGGCACTGGAATTACTTGGGCTGGAAGGATGCTTGGGACAATATCATAGTGATGTTTCTTAGAACATCCTTGGGAAGTGCTGCCCCTAGTCTCTTGTCCTTTGGCCCATGACAAGTGCTTCCTTGCATCCCACACCCACACATGCCAACTGTGTTCCCTCTGCCTGCAATGTTCCACTTCTAGGTTTCAACGTAGCTTCCTCCCTTTCTCTTCATTCAGCTCTCAGCTCAGATGACCCTCCTCACAGAGGTCCTCCCTGACCACTTGACCCTCTCACACTCTATCCCAAAGCATGTATCATTATTTGAAATGTTTACAATTGTCTAAATTGGTTACATCTTTATTGTCTGTTTCTCCTATTAGAAGGTAATTTCAGGCTGGGCACGGTGGCTCACACCTGTAATCCCAGCACTCTGGGAGGCTGAGGCGGGCAGATCACGAGGTCAGGAGATAGAGACCATCCTGGCCAACATGGTGAAACCCTATCTCTACTAAAAATACAAAAATTAGCTGGGTGTGGTGGTGCGCGCCTGTAGTCCCAGCTACTCAGGAGGCTGAGGCAGGAGAATCTCTTGAACCCAGGAGGCGGAGGTTGCAATGAGCCGAGATTGCACCACTGCACTCCAGCCTGGCAACAGAGTTAGACTCCCTCTCAAAAAAAAAAAAAAAAAAAAAAGAAGAAGGGAAGTTGATATCATGAGTGTTGCTGTAGCCCCAGCACTTAGAACAGGGTCTGGCACGTAGTTGGTGCCCCGTTGAAGGACAAAAATGAGTGAACGAACACTGAACTTCAGCCTTTCTATTAAACAGGGTGGAAGACCATGACGATCTCATGCCAATATTTATGCGCTATGACACAATTCTGAAGGAAACTTACGGTGAATACTTCCTGGCCGAACTAATAGAGGCCCAAGATGAAGAGAATCATGCTGTTGTGTGTGAGGTTAGTGATTCATCCATGTGGGGACACACTTAGTGAGAGGAAGGAGGGATGTGAGTGGTGTTGCTCTTGTGTTGCTGGGCACCCCTGGAGCTGCCATTGTCTCCCTGGGCACCCCGGCCCTCCCACTGCCCTTCCAGGTTCCTCCCCTGGGTTACTGACTTTAGGCTGTCTTTTGCGATGTCCTTCCAGATGCCCAGGGTGCTGTAGATTTTTGCCTTGTTCCTAGAGTGAGAGGGAATGGAAAAGACCCCCCCAGGGGTACATAGGGGGATTTCTGAGAATCCCCAAATCTCAGACTTCAGTAGTCACAAACCAGCGTTCTGCTGGCAGATGGATTTTGTTTGAGTTGGAGAGGTATTTTTTTTTAACGTTTTGTTTTGACATAGTTTCACACTTAAAGAAAGTTTATAACTACCCAGATTCCCCAAATGTTAACATCCAGCCCCATTTGTTTTATTCTTTTGTTCATCCTTTCTAATTCCCCACCCCGCTCTTTCTCTCTCACTGGCTTTCTCTCTCTCTCATGTATATTCTGAACCATTTGAGAGTAAGTTGCATACATGATGCCCCTTTACCTCTAAGTATTTCAATGTATATTTCCTAAAAACAAGGACACTCTCTTAGATAACTGCAATACAATGATCAAAGCCAAGTAATTATGATTCCTGTAATTCTTTTATTTTTTATTTTTTTGAGATGGAGCCTTGCTCTGTCACCCAGACTGGAGTGCACTGTCATGATCTCAGCTTACTGCAACCTCCGCCTCTTGGGTTCAAGTGATTGTCCTGCTTTAGCCTCCCAAGTAGCTGGGATTACAGGTGTGTGCCACCACACCCAGCTAACTTTTATATTTTTAGTAGAGATGGGGTTTCACCATGTTGGCCAGGCTGACCTGAGGTGAACTCCTGACCTCAGGTGATCCGCCTGCCTTGGCCTCCCAAAGTGCTGGGATTAGAGGAGTGAGCCACCACACCCAACTAGTTCCTGCAATTCTTTTATCTAATCTACAGACTATTCAGATTTTTCTGACAGTCCCAGGAATGTCCTTTATGGCAGAGGTAATTCCAGGCCATTCATTGCATTCAGGTGCTCTGTTTCTTCAGCCTTTTAAAATCTAGAACAATTCTCCAATCAGTCCTTATCTTCCATGACAATTACAGTTTTGAAGAGTACAGGTCAGACATTTTGTAGAATGTCTCATTTTGAATTTGTGCAATGTTTTCTCATGATTTGATTCAAGTTATATATGATTAAATATTTTTGAGTTAGCAGCTAATGTAAAAATTATGAAAGTCTATATAGCAATTGGAATTTCTAGCTTTTCTAAACAAATCAGAAGGCCCAGCCTATTGGGCCCAAAAGACAGCCCATACCCTCTAATTCATGATTCTTCATCTACTCATTACTCATTATTTGTTAAAACTATAAGAGCTGTTTAAAGAATATTACTTTTCTTGAAACTTGGAATGAAAAGTTCTCTTATTTGGATGACATGAGCAGTTTGAGGCTTTGTTCTACATCAGTGGTTCTCAAACTTGGCACATATGCAAATCACTTGGGAGGCTTTTAACTAGCCATACCATGCCAATGACTTGGATCCAGAATATATACAAAGAACTCTCACAACAATAGAAAAATAATCCACATAAAATGTGGGCAAATGATTTGAATAGACACTTTTCAAAAAAATGAATAAATAAAATATACAATTGGCCAATAAGCACGTGAAAAGACATTCAACATCATTAGTCATTAAGGAAAGGCAAATCAAAATCATAGTAAGATACCACTTTACCTCCACTAGGAGGGTTATAATCAAAAAGCAGGACAATAGCAGATGTTGGCAAGGATGTGGAGAAACTGGAACCCTCATTCATTGCTGGTAGGAATATAAAATGCCATGGCCATTTTGGAAAACAGTCTGACATTTTCTCCAAAAGTTAAACATAAGAGTTACGATTTGACCCAGCAATTCCATACACAGAATTGAAAACACGTGTCCACAAAAAGATTTGTATGCAAATGTTTATAGAAGCATTATTCATAATAGCCAAAAAGTAGAGCTAGGCCAAATGTCTGTCTACTGATGACTACATAAACAAGTTATGGCATATCCATACGAGGGAATAGTACTAGGAAATAGAAGAATGAAGCACTGATACATGCTACAGCATGTCGGAACCTTGAAAACGATGCTAAGGAAAAGAAGTCGGTCATAAAGACCACGTATTGTATGATGGCATTTAGATGAAAGCCTAGAATAGACCCTTCTGTAGAGACAGAAGGTAGATTAGTGTCTGGAGGGAAAGGGGAAGGAGAAGTGACTAATACTGGGCATAGGCATTGGTTGGTGGGGGGATGAAAATGTTCTGGGATTAGATAGTGGTGATGGGTGTACAATTTTGTGAATATATTAAAAACCACTGAATTGTGTGTTTTTTTTTTTTTTTTTTTTTGACAGAGTCTTGCTCTGTTGCCCAGGTTGGAGTGCAGTGGTGTGATCTTGGCTGACTGCAACCTCCACCTCCTGGGTTCAAGCGATTCTCCTGCCTCAGCCTCCCAAGTAGCTGGGATTACAGGTGCCTGCCACCACACTGGCTAATTTTTGTATTTTTAGTGGAGATGGGGTTTTGCCATGTTGAGCAGGCTGGTCGCAAACTCTTGGCCTCAAGTCATCTGCCCACCTTGGCCTCTAAAAGTGTTAGAATTACAGGTGTGAGCCACTGCACTAGGCCTGAATTGTGTATTTCTTAAAGGGTTGTTTTTATGGTAGTTGAATTACATCAATTGTATCCATTTTTAAAAATCCTGTTGCAGGGGTACCCTCGGGCCAATTAAATGAATCTTTTGGGGGTGAGACATAATCCATATATTTATTTTTAATTTTAGACACAGGATCTCACTATGTTGCGCAGGCTTGTCTTAAACTGCAGTCCTCTTGCCTCGGCCTCCCAAAGTGCTGGGTTTGCAGGCATGAGCCACCATGCCTGGCCTCAATCTGGATTTTTAAAAATCTCCCCAGATGATTCCAATGTGCAGTCCAGGTGGTGCAACACTCATCTACATGAGGATAAAACACACCTGGTGAGAATGACATGACTTTATAAACATGTGGGTATTAGTTTCTGAAGCTGACAATTGGCCCTGGAAATTAGATTCTGAAGTACTACATTGAAAGAATTTTTATTTATTTTTATTTTAGTTTTTAAATGTTTATTTTATTTTCTCATATTTAGGTTTTGGCATGGTTTCTCAACGACCTGCTTTCACGTATTCTCGTTTAGCCATTAGCCCCAGGCTACCAGGCTAGCCACAGAAGGGAGGGTTGGAAGCATTTGGGCCTAGCAGCACCATTTGGAAAGCTTGTCTTTACACAACTAGACAGAAACTCCTGAGAAGTGAAATGATTCATACAGACCCCAGTAAGGATTTTCATGACCAGACTTTACTCATCAGGTTTAATCAGGGTCTTTGTTTTTGGAAGACTGTTAATTATTTGGTTTCGAGGTACTAGTTTTAGTTTGAATCACTTGAGTCAGTGCTTTGTAGAGAAGCCACAGTGACCTCTTCCCCCACGTTCTTTCTCTCTCTTGCCATATGTTTCACACTTTCAGTGTGTGTAAACATCAGAGCAAAGCCATAGGCTGAAAACTGAGGTTCCAACCCTGCAAGGATTCTTTGGTGTCTTGAAAGAGGCAGAGGGCATCCAGCCCCATCTCCTTCCAGAGGCTGTGCTGCCTCAAGCATCAGAGGCTTTGTGTTCTGTGGAGGGGAGACCACAGACCTCGATCTTCAAATAGAAGGGCAGAAACAAGAGTGTGAGCTGGGATCTGGGAGGGGACCTCTAATCTGAAGTGAGCCATGTCTGATGTCTGAAGCCTTTTGGGGTTCAAGATCAATGCTGTTGCTACCCTTTTTCCTGCCTCCCTAGGGGCCTTTTAGGCAATGGTGTGCTGGAGCCAGCTTGCTCTGGCTCTCAAGGGCTGATTGTAAATCTTCAGGAACTCTGCAAACTGCTTGTTAAATACAGCTATTATTAAAAATTAAATTATAGAAACATACAATGTAATAAATTGTATTAAAACAAGGTTAATAAATACTTGAAATTCATCACCTTCAATTTTTTTTTGCTATTGTCCATGCTCTTGAGGGTTTTTTAAAAAAATGTCTGTGGCCTCTATACAGTGGGTGTAAGAAATAATGGCTAGCTACTGTGCATTCCCTCCCAACTACATGTTTAGTGAGATCACACTGTTCACTTGACATTGGCCATGATGCGAGTGCTTACGCCTCAGAAATCGGCAGAAGCTACAAATCTAGGCTTTCCCCCCATCGGCCATGATGAGAGTGCTTATACCTCAGAAATCGGCAAATGCTACAGATCTGGGCTTCCCCCCTACCCCTCCGGAATGCTGATTAGGCATTTACAGGCACATGTTACTTTAAGGCAACCACTGTCAACCAGAGGAAACAGAAAGAAGTCCATCAAGTTTGTCTCTTTCTGAACAGCCATGGCAGTTCCAGGCCATGCACGCAGCATACCTGAGGGCAAGGCTGTGCCCTGTGGGAAACCCTTATGACTGAAAGGGTTTTTAGTTACAAGGACTTTCTTTGGCTTGATAGCTAGTTTGGAGGAGTTTGGGGCCATCACTTCATACAAGTTCCTTGTCATAACTGTACCCTGACTTACCTTGACATCTGGTGTTTACTCCAAGCTGAGGTTTTAGGGAAGGGTAGTTAGAGGCCAACGGCGGCTCCTAGTGACAGATGGGCAGAGCGTCTGCTTTGGCATCATCCATGGTGTGGGCAGCAGTGGTCTGAGTAGGCACCACTGACCTGCAGGCAGGGAGAGCCTGCCAGGTCAGCCATGCGCTTGGCATCAGGAGGAGAGGATCAGAGCCAGCAGTGGTCACAATGAGGGCAAAACCCTCATGGTGGAATATGGACCTGTTTGGGAAGACAAGGCCACAGTACATATAGTTTTCTAGCAATCTAAACCTTCTGTGTCATGATGTAGATCTTTACAGGACAAGCAAGAAAAACAAAACTTTCAGTTTTGTTCTCCAGTATAAGATAATTGAAGACGCTTGTGGTGGAAAGTACTTCTGTCACCAGGAAGATAGATAACAGCCAGCAATCAATGCTTTTCTGTTGTACAAGTTTAAAAAGTCCATTAAATCCATTTATTTTTTTCAGTGCATACACAAGAATGCATTTGGATACTCCTGCAGATTCATATTTAAGAACAGTCTCAAATCGGTTATTTGAAAGAAACTCAAAGGAAAAAGCAGACGCTTCCACAATATGTCCTTGCTCTGTTGTAGTCTGTAATTGTGAACTTTTGTAAATTGTTACAACCCTGGATGAATGATGGGAATATAACAGGTTGTAGAATTGGAGAACGTTAAATCTTTGTTCCTAATGGCAAAACATGTTTTTCTCATTTTCATCAGAATGTGTGATCCATGCCATTTGAAATCAAATTCCAAACACAATGAGCCATTAGTGTAATAGCTCATTACTAACAGCGGTCTTATAAATAATACATTCTTATCATGCACATGCAGCTCGCTGTGAAGCCAGCAAAAGGTATTTCAGGCCATCGAAGTTTTGTTGCGCCAGCGCGGCTGTGGATTAGAAGGACATCTCCATGTGAACCAAGATGGATGCCAATTTTCCCTGCCGAGAGTGAGGCTGGCCGTCTCTTTCTGCACATATGGTAGATGGATTGGTTAATCAGCGTCTGCTGAGTCTTGGGCCTGAAATTACAGAGAAGCCAGACAACTGCGGCTATGCAGCCTTTGTTCACGAGTGCAAACAAGACAAACAATCACTTGTTATTTGGGAAAAAAATTAAAATGTTTATTTTGGACTTTTATTAAAGTGTCAATGGCTTTATAAAACAGCTGTGTAAATCCAGGCTTTTTCAGCAGTATCATTTTAGGGGGACTGTAAAGAAAGGAATATACGTGAAAAAATTAATTTTTAAAAATACCCCTTGTATTTCAGTTTTGAGGAGAAAATAGAGGAAGTCTCACTTTTATTTTGCAAACACATTTGAGAACAAATGATTTTTAACTGGGAGACATGTTCGAGAACAAATAGTAGTTTAATACCTATTTTTTTTGGTGTCATTTTAAAAACTGAGTATTATTGTAGCCTGATTCTCTGTTTTAGGAGGTTAAAGCATTAACCATTTTCTCTGACTGGGCATTTATGGAAAGATGCTGCATTCTTGGAAATAGAGAATGCCTGTGATTATTGAGTTCTGCTACTTTCTGAATGCAATGGTTATCTAAAAGTCTGAACACTTGAGAGATAGGACCCAGTAAATGTGGGTTTCTAATAACGGCTATCAGAGTCTAATCAGTCAACCAGAATTTACTTAAAATCTACTTAATAATTATTTTATGTGAAATTCAAAGGACTATGTATTTTCTCTCTCTTTTAAAATTTTAAATACTTTCCTTGCAGAAAACAATGAAATACAGAATTACTTAAGGGATATAATAAGGAGTTTCAGTCACAGCCGTCTCTCAATGTGGAATATGATAGAATTGAAGTCTGTTGTTAATTTCTAATGTTTTGGTACCAATCAGGTACCTGGTACCCAACCAGGGTTCAGATCAGCTAGTTACTCATATTTTCACCTATGTATTACTCATCAAAGACAGAAAATCATGGGGACAACTGCAAGAGCTTCAGAACCAGCATTTCGGGGTGATGGGAAGTTAGATGTTTGCAGATGAGAGCCACCTGGTGAACCAGCCCAGCCTGACTCAAGTTTACTTCCCTCGAACATTTTCCACCAAACTTCCTTCCCTCATATCTCCTCCCCATCAGACTATCCAGTTAATAAATAAGTGAGTTCAAGACAAATTGAAGAGTTTCTACCTGATAAGGAGCTAGGGTCCATGGACTTTCTCTGTACTGGGGGCTGATCACATGGGCACCAGAACAATGACCTGTATTCCTGAGAAATGTGCATGGCAGAGGGGAAGAAAGTAGACAGAAGCACCAGGCTTATGTTGGGGTACAAACACATGACACCAAATGGCAGAGGATATGGAGCAGCCAGGGGCATGGTCTGAGCAGAGGGCAAGTATCCCAATGGTTGAAGGGTCAAGAACTCTGGCAATTTCCCTGTTACTTATTCACCACTAGGTGTGTCCCCAGTGGTCACTTATTGGAACATTTTTGAGCATGTTTTAGGTACTTAAGGAAGCCACTCATTCCTCCCTTAAATCTCAGGGTGCCTGCCAAACCACCAGCCAACCACATACTGAGGGCTCTGGAGGTTTCCTGATGAGAATCATTTGACCTCTGATAAAGTAATGAAGTGTTTTGGACTGGGTGCGGTGGCTCATGCCTGTAATCCCAGCACTTTGGGAGGCCGAGGTGGGCAGATCACTTGAGGTCAGGACTTTGAGACCATCCTGGCCAACATGGCTACACAGGAGGCTGGGGCAGGAGAATCGCTTGAACCCAGGAGGCGGAGGTTGTGGTGAGCCGAGATACACCACTGCACTCCAGCCTGGGCGACAGAGCAAGACTCTGTCTCAAAAAAAAAGAATAATAAGGTGTTTTGGATATTTCAGGTGGAAGGCACAGCTGTTGGGTTCATGAGTGTGTGCTCAAGAGTGAACATGCAACTGCTACATGAGTGCTTTGACTTGGGCCCTTTCCACGGACTCTGTTTCCCCCATCCTGATGATGTTCTGGAAGCACCACAAGAGCTAAGTGTCCGAAGAAGTCAAGGTACAGTGGATATCATGGGGACACACTGGAAAATTAAATCTATGCTGTATACACATTGCACTCTTTGCTAAGTGATGGAACTAGATAGGGTACTTTATATTTCCTTCCCCAGTTCCCCTTAAGGAGTAGTTCTATAGTTGGTTACATCCTTTTGCAAATATCAACAAGCACAGATAGTCATAGTGCAGGGGTGGAGTTAGACATACTGGACTTGGGGCTTTAGGGCTCCCACATTGAGCATGCTCACTTCTTGAATGTTCATTGCTATAGTAGATGTAAGTTATGGTGAAATAATTACTAGTGTTTCAGGTTTTACACACACACACACACACACACACACACACACATACACACAGCCAAATACAACAAGTGAATTTTTCAAATCAAGAACTCAGGAAGTTTTATATGCTTTGAAGTTTTAATCCCAACTTTCAGTGCTTCTGTCTTTTTGTCTTTGACAAATCATTATATAGTATAGGTCTGTTGTAAATAGTCATTTTTAACTTACTTAAGTTACTTCTAGCTATATGAAATGATATCATCAATTTTAAAATATTGTATCAAGATTTTCACCACATTCAATTAGGCAATCTCGAACTTTGATGTGTTAATTTAGTGAGGTCTTACTGTATCCATGGGTATCTTTGCGGTTACATATTTGGGTTCTTACAGAAGACAGATGCAGGCAGGCAAGTTACCGTGGGTACATCAATTCACTTCTCTAAAGCTGGATTTCTTCATTTGTAAAATAAGCATAATAGTAATACCTCCCACACGGTGGCAGGTGGGGGGGGGGGTTGTGAAGTTTCACTGAGATAAGCCATGTAGGGTGCTTTGCACAGTCAATTTAACACTCAATAAATGTTGATCATCACCGTTAGCAATTTTTTTTTCCTTTGTGTCGGCCTTCCACCAACTTGAATCTTCCTAGGGTAAAATCAGGGTAGTTCAAATTGCTATGCTTTTTCCTGTCTGAAAGATTATAACAAGATTGTTCAGAAATGGGAAAAGGAGCCCTTGGCTGGTGGCAAAGGACTTGTCAGTCTAGACAACAGAAGGCAGCGACTTGGCTAAGCTTTTCTCCTGAATGCGTAAACCCAGTGCACAGCGTCTAGACCTCATCTGAACACACACATTTATCACAGAGAACTTGCAAAGCCACAGGTAGAGGAGTTTCCCTTTTGTTCTGATGATAACAACACCCTTCCCAAAAGAGATTTGGGGTCCTTATTGTTTAACAGCGAAGCCTTGCTTGCCATGCTTCTCAGAGAAGAACTCTACCATGGGAGAGTTCTGAAGGAACTTATCATTGTGAGACAGTCCGGGACCATAAGTTGTCATTGTCATTTTCCAATGCTTAAATTCTTCTTTGAAAGCAGCACTAAATGGCCTTCTTTTTTTTTTTTTTTTTTTTTTTTTTCTGAGATGGAGTTTAACTCTTGTCACCCAGGCTGGAGTACAATGGTGTGATCTTGGCTCACTGCAACCTCCACCTCCTGGGTTCAAGTGATTCTCTTGTCTCAGCCTACAGAGTAGCTGGGATTACAGGCGACTGCCACCACACCCAGCTAATTTTTGTATTTTTAGTAGAGAGTGTTTTGCCATGTTGACTAGGCTGGTCTTGAAGTCCTGACCTCAGGTAATTCACCTGCCTTGGCCTCCCAGAGTGCTGGAATTACAGGTGTGAGCCATCACACCTGGTCCTAAATTGCCTTTTTATGGCTGAATATTCTCATATATAAAATGGAGATGAAAATAGTATCTAACCCAAAGAACTGAGAGGATGATTAAATGTTAGAATCTATGTGTTGTGGTTAGCTCAGCGCCAAACACAAAGTAAGTCCTGAACATTTAAAAATATTTTTTCCCCTGTGGCTATTGTAATGAAGGACAAGTTGAAAGGATGTAGTCCCTTCCAGTGTGTTCCTGAGTGGCTCTGATGCTACTAATGTTTCCTACGTAGAATGAATGGAAAATTACTTAGAAACTTTATGGAGCAATGAAATTCAAAATTTAAACTGAACCCTGGACTTAAAAACACACATAAGCTAGTATATCTCTAGCAAGAGCCCACAGAGATATGGGCACTAAAAGAAGTCCTACTTCTGTCTACCTCCTTTAATATTTTTACCTAAAATCAGTCAATCTAGGACAGGTGGTAAGTAAAAGAAATAGGAAAACTTATCTTCTGTGCCTTGTTTATTTTTGAAAGTCAGCTTTATGTTCATTGACACAAAGATGATTCTTTATGAAATTTTCACCAGGGAGCTGGCATTGTAGACTTCCAGATAAGTTCCAGGGATTGAGTCACAAATCATCAACAGCTCATTATATCTAAGAAAAGAGTCATCAACACATTTTGCTGCCATCTTCCTATCAACAACAACAAAGAATGAGGCTCCAGAGAAAATTCTAAATGTACTGTGATCTGTTACTTTTCTTGCCTGATGAAAGTCTCAAGTTAAAGGAAATATAATTTCTCTAAAATATGAACTAAAATTCTTGTTTCAAATGAGCACACATCACCATGCCACATATCTTGTATTTTGTTTAGTGCTTTTTCCATTTCAAAGGATTTTTATTTATATTATCTCATTTTATCCTTGTAACTTGGTGTAGGAGAGCTAGGGAAGGTGAGGTTCTCTCTATTTTATACCTGCTCAAGCTCATCCAAGCTTTTAAAGCTCATCAGTGGCTGACCCAGAAGGCAGACCCAGCCTCTCTCTTCTTTTGTGCAAGATGATAGTCTTGGCAAGGTAACTTTTTATCTTGGATGGTTTTGACAGAAAACTCCAATGATGGCTCTGCTACACAAGATACATAATCAGTTTTTTCACTTTATTTTTTTTTATAATTATTTTTTTGAGATGAAGTCCCCCTCTGTCACCCAGGTTGGAGTACAGTGGTGCAATCTCAGCTCATTGCAACCTCTGCCTCCTAGGTTCAAGCGATTCTTCTGCCTCAGCCTCCCCAGTAGCTGAGATTACATGTGTATGCCACCACACCCAGCTAAATTTTTTGTATTTTTAGTAGAGATAGTGTTTCACCATATTGACCAGGCTGGTCTTGAACTCCGGACCTCAGATGATCTGCCCACCTCAGCATCCCAAAGTGCTGGGATTACAGGCATGAGCCGCCATGCCTGGCCAGTTTTTCACTGTAATAAGTTATTTAATGAATGATCACTTCAGTGAATGATCAGTGACCTGCCCATATCCCTCATACTTTTATTTTATATGTGTGTTCTCCAAACAATTCCTGTCTGCTGGAATCTTCACCTCTGTGTCTGCAGGCTTTTTTAAAACTGTGAAAGGCCACTCTGACCTGTGCAGGGGTCAGGCTGGAAGTATCAGGAAATTATCACTTAAGGAACAGACTGCTTCCTTGTCTCACATCCCAGCTTCCCTGCTGGTGCTTTCTCCATCGACTCCCAAATAAATGGTTGTAATTGAATCTTTAACTCAAGGTTTGCTTCTGAGGGAAGTGAGACCAAGACACTACTAGTTAGGCCTTTTCCTACCAGCTGTGAAAGCATTTATTTATACACAACTGACTTGGGTGAGAGTATAAATACCCCAGCTCCCTCACTCCTCAGGTGGGAGGACTCAGAGATGTGAGTATTGGCTGGTTTCTCAGAGTTCCCCCAAGGGATTAAGTTTCAGTTGTCCATAATAGTAATCTGAGTGATAACACATGTGTTGTTGTTTTTTTTTTTTTTTTTTTTTTTTTTTTGAGACAGAGTCTCGCTCTGTCGCCCAGGCTGGAGTGCAGTGGCCGATCTCAGCTCACTGCAAGCTCCGCCTCCCGGGTTTACGCCATTCTCCTGCCTCAGCCTCCCGAGTAGCTGGGACTACAGGCGCCTGCCACCTCGCCCGGCTAGTTTTTTGTATTTTTTTTTTTTTTTTAGTAGAGACGGGGTTTCACCGTGTTAGCCAGGATGGTCTCGATCTCCTGACCTCGTGATCCGCCCGTCTCGGCCTCCCAAAGTGCTGGGATTACAGGCTTGAGCCACCGCGCCCGGCCGTGTTATTGTTTTTTAACTTTTAAGTTCAGGGGTACATGCGAAGGTTCATTACATAGGTAAACTTGTGTCATGTGGGTTTGTTGTACAGATTATGGCATCATCCAGGTATTAAGCCTAGTACCCATTAGTTATTTTTCCTGATCCTCTCCCTCCTCCAACCCTCCACCCTCAAAAGGCCCCAGTGTGTGTTATTCCCCTTTGTGTGTCCATGGATAACACACACTTTATTAGTTGTCTTTCCTTCCCTGTCTCTTTTCCTCACTCTCCTACTGGTGCATCCTGGAACCACCTCCAAAGTAAACTGCTTATTCTCAAGCTCTTCTCTCAAGATCTGATCTTTCCCTACCAGCTGTGAAAACTTGTAATTTCATACCAACCTCAACCCTTTCAAGCAGAATAATGTCAAGACTCAACATTCTTAAATGAATCCAGAGGCTCTCCTTTCTCTAGCTCCTAATACACATGGTAGTTAGCTTACTGTCCTTTCTCATCTCAGCCTTATCAAAAGTTTCCCTGGAGGTCTGGCTGGTGTTAACAGAAAGGAGGGCAGAGCTGGTGCGGCTGACCATGGAGAAAGCTGACTTGGCTGGTGTGGTGCAGAGAAGCCAGCTTGTTTATGTGCTTATTCCATGACTGCTTGCCCTGAGCAGAAAGTGCCTTTCAGGATCTATTTTTGGAGGTTTATTACGTATGTCTGTTCTCAATTACAACGGTTTAATGAAGATCTAAATAAAATGCTAGGTTCTACCTTAAAAAAAGTTTCCCTGAATCTAAAATGTTTAACTGTGTACAATCAATTTGTGTTTTACCTGAATAATTTGTATATGTTCTCATAGCTATTCATTTTGCATATATAACCTATTACATACTTGTAAACTTTGGTTTTTATGTACTAAACGTTGGGAGTAAACTGGGACCAATGGGAATAAGTTCTAAGGATGCAAATTTTGTCCAAGCATAAGGAAAAAGTAGTAGA